TGATGGATGGGGCCCAAAGGGGATGCTGGGCAGGGGAGGGGGGCAGGGATGGAGCCAGCCTCAGGATGTCCTCCACAGTGAGTTCTCCATGCAGCCCAGCCAGGGATGGGGATGTCACTCCTGACACAGCGGCAGCAGAGCCAGCTCCAGGCCGGGGGTGCAGCCCCCCAAAATCAGGGCAGGCACTGCCCCGCTCCCAGCCACCGCAGACACTGTCCCCTGCAGAGGAGCCCTGTCCCCCCCGGGAAGGCTCAGTGGGAATTCTGGCATGGCTAGGGAGGGCAGGGCACCCCGGCGACACCCCAAGGCACAGCAGGGCACATCTCCAGAGCCAAGGAGAGGACTGAGGGGGCCCTCGGGGACACATCTGGGCAGAATGGGTATGGAGGCAGAGCATGTCCCCAGTGCTGGGAGGGGGACAGGGCACACATGGGAGCATCTCCAGGGATGAGAGAAGTATGGGGCTCCCTAGGGATGCACCCAGAGGCCACTGCTGCCACTGGGAGAAGGATGAGGTGTCCTGGGCATGCACCTTCAGGGATGGAAGCAGGACAGGACACCCTGAGGTGCACCCAGAGCCCATCAGCATGACTGCGAAAAGGATGGAAAATCCTGGGGGCACGTCTCCATGTCTGGGAGAAAGACTAAGCATCCTGAGAATGCATCTCTGGAGCTGGGAGCAGGACAGGGCACCCTGGGGCCACATGTCTGCGGCTGGGAGAAAGATGGAGCATCCTGGGGGTGCATCCAGAGCTCATCATTGCCACTGGGAGAGGGACGGAACATCCCGGGGGTGCATCGCTGCGACTGGGAAAAAGACGGACCATCCTGAGGGTACATCCCCAGGGTGGGAAAAGGATGGGGCACCCCTGGGATGCACACAGAGCCCATCACCACCACTGGGAGAAGAACAAAGCACCCCCAGGGAGGATCTCCAGGACCAAGGGGAGGATAGGGCACCCCGGGGCTGCATCTCTGCAGCCAGGAGAAGGATGTGGCACCCCGGGGATGCACCCAGAGCACATCATCAGCACAGGGAAAAGGATGGAGCACCCCAGGGGTCCATCTCTGAGACTGAGAAAAAGATGGGGCACCCTGGGGAAGCACCCAGAGCCCATCACCACACCAGGGAAAAGGATGGGCCACCCTGGGGAAGCACCCAGAGCTCTTCTGCGGTGCACGGGGGGCAGTGACAGCTCCCGCCCCCGTAATGGGGCTGGTAGCTGGGATGGCCAGCCCTTACCTGGCCGTTCTTGCAGAGGTCGGCCCACATGCTGGTCCCATCACCTCCGCGCATGAGGACATGGTAGGTGAAGAAGTAGGTGCCTGGAATGGCGCAGGTGAACTTGCCGGAGGCAGCATCGTAGCTGTTGCCCAGGTTGGTGACCACGTCGTCAAACTTGAGGACCTCGTAGCCCTCGTGAGGGTTCTTTAGGCCGGCGTAGAAGGCGACGCGTGGCACCGTGCTGTAGGTAGCCGCGCTCACCGCACCTGTAGCCCCTGGTCCCGGTAATCCCGGGGGACCCGGTCGCCCCGCTTCACCCC